GGCTGCACCCGCGGGGACGTCTGCGCTGCCCCGGTGCCGCTGCCGCTCTGGCCCCACGGGGTGGCTTGGCACGGCACGGCACGGCAGGGGGGCACCGGGGGTGGGCTGCGGGCTGTGCCCCTTTTAATTAGCCGCAGGTAGGATTACCAAGTCCAGCCAGATTGTGGCAGGCACCCGGGGTGGCCGTAACCTGCAGCGGGGCTTTCACCGAGACCCCGGGTGAGGGGGCACTGCGGCAGCCCCCGGCCGGCTCCTCAGGGTGCGCGGCCAAGCCACCGTCCGTCACCGCGGCCCCGGCTCTCGCCCGTCCCGCCGCGGAGCCGCGGGTGGAAAACTTGGGTGGGAACCCGATCCGGGCGCGGGACGGCGTATCCGTTCCCAGCGGGCTAAGGTTACTGGCCCCTCTGATTCAGCAGCAGGTCACCCCCAGCCGCGCCGCCTCCCGGCCAGCCCCTAAGCGCCTTACCAATTAGCCAGGCATTTTGATTAGTTTAAACCTTTTATCCTGCTTTGGGGCCCTTGGCCTCCATCTGTCCTGTGGCCCCAAATCCCTCCTGCAGTTGTGTATCGGGGTCACGTCCGCCCCCCCACCCTGACCCACTGGGTGATGATGGCTGGGACCCCCATCACCCAGGGCGTGGGGTCCTCCAGCGCCATGGGGCTGAGACCGCCTGAAGCTTGTGACAGTGGTGTGGGTGTGCTGCCTTGGCGGGGGACAGGGGTGCAGGGGACAGTGCCCACTCCTGCCCTGCAGGCATCTTGCCCCCAGCCCAGCTGGGACCCCCTGGCTGGGGCAGGCACAGCCGCAGGGACCCCCGGCCTCGGCCACACTCCACCGCAGGCCCCTGGGGACTGGCAGGGACGAGCTCTGCCATCGCCTGCACCCCAAAGTGCTCAGACACCCGGTGCCAGCCCCTGTGCCGGCAACCGGTTGTGCACCGGTGATGCCGCTGTGGGACACTGAGGCCCCAGCCGCGATGGCTCCCGCTGCCGCCTTCCCCCCGGCCCCGCGGCTCCGGTGTCAGCGCAGCACCCAGTTATTGTTCCCGAAAATAGGTCCCAGGGATTGGTTGCCTCATGACTTTTTCATGGCCAGGCTCTCTCTTACCATGCCGGGGGGGTGCCGCGGCCCCCCAGCCGCTGAGTTACCCGAGCCGTGGCTGCGCTGCCTGGCACGATGTAACTGACCCTCGACGAAACAGATACGGGTCGGCTTTCGGGCTGGGGGGGGGATAAGTGGGTCAGGGTCTTGC